TTTTTGAGAGAGAAGGAGCATGAGCGGGGCAGGAAGCGAGAGAGAGGGGACAGAGGATCCGAAGCGGGCTCTGCGTTGACGGTGGTGAATCAGAACTCATGATTATTACAGTCTCTACTAATTATGGAGTGCTGACAATATCCTCGAGTCCTCAGACCCACGAATCATGAGATCATGACCTGAGCCGAAGTCGGGGACTCCACCAACCGAGCCACCCAGGTGCCCTGAATTCTATCTTTTTAATCTGGATCCCCCACCTTTGAGGTACTGAAATGTATTCCAGGTTATACTATAGATCAGGCACAGATAACCCACAGTCCCGTAAACAGAGGAGCCACACCAAGCCTGAGACAGGACTCCTTAACAAACGTCTGTGTTCACCCCTATGGGAAGCCCCCTCTCCTGGCTCTTGATGTGGCTGAAAACAGAGTGAGCCTCTGGGTCTGTGGTAGGCGGAGAAAGATCCTCAATTATAAACCAAAACACAAGGTATTAGCAAGAGAGATTTAACACTTACAGTCACGCTTGGAGTTACAAGGTGTTAATGAGCAAGATAAACCAAGGAATGCATTTTTCTTCCTCCTTGGCTGCCTGGGTTGGCTGTTGGTGCAGAATAATTGAAACTTCAAGTTCTGAGACTATGAATCAGGAGGGTTTCCTGTGTTATGAATGATGTCATCTTGTAAGGCCAGAGACTTGCTGTGAAATGCAGGAACATTCAGGGTAATGTGTTTGCAGCAAGCAGGATCCTGAATTTATTGCAGAGGGGAGTGTGTGAGTTGACCAAAATGGAGAATGATGAGAAGTAACTAAATTATGTATGACAGTCTTTACAGAGCAGAGGAAGGAAGAAAGCTTAATGATATTGTGGTTGAAGGCCCAGCAGCAATTGGTGATGTATTGGCTGGAGATTGCTAAGAAGAGAAATGAATCCACGAAGACTCGAAGACTATAGATGAGCCTGACAAAGACCAAGCAGTGGATTTGGGAGGGGGGAGGGGAACCAAGGGCTCCGTATAGAATGCATTTTAGTGGCAACAAGCCAGCCAAGTAAAGTTAACTTGACATTAAAAAGCATCATCTTAATCTGTGTAGCTCTTTCAAGCCTGACTCTTATCAAAGCAAAAAAAAAAAAAAAAAAAAAAAAAATCTATAGTTAACCATGAAGTATTTTTCTCTTTGCTTTCCCCGCATCCACCAAAAGCCGTACATAATTTAATTATTGAATCTACAGGCTGGCCCATGATGATGAAGAACGGTATGTCTGCGGGAGTGAGAAATTAGGTAGAACCAACTGTTTATTCTCATCATTCTTGCCCCGTTAGGGTAAATTAATAAAGTTAACAAGCTTCTGTTTGGCTTAGTGGCTCAGATCTGGGATGTGCCGATCAGAACTCATGATTATTACAGTCGCTATTATTTATGGAGCGCTGACAACATCCTCAGGTTCTGTGTGTAAAACAGAAAGGGTTCTTTTGTCATCCTCTGTGCTGGAACCCATGTTCCTCCAGGATTAGAGGCTACACGTTTGAATAGAATAATGAAGTTCAAGAAAATCAGATTTACTTCCTTGGGGCGTGGAGCTTCATAAATGCCACTGATCGTCTTTCCTGTTGACCCATGCTCTGTATCTCTGAACTTTTTTAACAGCTGTAACAGTGTGCACGGTTATACTGGGCCAACCCGGTGGGGGAAGGCGGAGATGTGCGCGCACCGC